CATTGGGGGCATACGCTTGGTTTTTGCTGTAGCCTCACAAAAACAAAACAACAAAAAAAAGTCACAAGGTGTGAAGTCAGGGGAGCGGGGAACCCATTCGAGCACATGAGTCGAGTTTTTGTGGCTACCGAGTTCCAATTCAGCCCTCGGGATTGGCCTCCCCTGGTTTTAGACTAACACCTGCCCTCGGAATTTGGTGTTTTCATCAGTGGTGGTAAGAGCAGGCCTTCCGCTGCATAGTTTGACAAGGAGAGATCCAGAGACATCGCACTACGGGTTGGAGCAGACTGACGTAAAAAAAAAAAATCTGCTTAATCTTGTGCTGAACTGCAGATGGGGGACAGAAAAAAAACTCCTCCAATACCGAAGTGACTGAATGCTGATGGCCTCACATCTGTCTAAATGATACCTAAATGAAATACAAAAAAAGTAAGATTAGAACTGTAGTGACTTTTGGGACGCCCTATATTGCAGTTGGAAGTCTGCCATTAAGTGACAGTCTGAATGTGTGAATGGTTTTCTGGCATCGGTTTTTGGACAGCTAGCTCGATGCCCTCTACCATGCGACAGTTGTGGTGTACTCATCTGTCTCCGGGTACCTCAGGCCTTCTGTGTTCCATAGACATCACTTCATCCTACCAGTCGTGTCGAGGGCTCCGAGTGGGGGGAAAAAATGCAAAAACTAGTCTGGAATTAGAAAGGATGAGGAAAAGGTCTTCCTGCAAAATCATTCTTTAATTTGGAATTGTTATTGCTTCTCAACTGGTTGAGATGATTGACTTCTAGTTCCGCTGATGATGATGTCTTCGCCTTTTCTTTTAGCAGTACAGTACTTGTATGTCCCCAGTAAGACTTCGGGGAAGGACCTCTATGATTTTGAGTGCTCACTGCAACAAATGAAAGATGATGTCTTAAGTCCTCCATTTGGTCACGGTAGTTGAAAAGCATCCAGGCGGGAGATCGTGGGTGGATAAACCAAATGCAGGGCACTTTTTTAAATCCATGTTGTGCAATTGTTTAACTGTAAAAGAAGTCACGGTACCCGAAACCATCGTTTCATCAACCCTCATGCCCAGGCTCCAGATTTTCCCTCTGTTGTTGCATTATTTGCCCAATGTTTACCTCTTTGAGTATGAATCATGAAGCATTTGCGGAATTCATTTGAGAGTGTGAAAATGATTTGGCATTGTCTCTCTGCATTTGGAAGCTCTTGATGATGACAGGTTACGCAATTTCTGTTGTATTAAAAATTGACATAAAAAAAAAGGTAGCCACCTGTTGTGTGATGTACAATAACATTTGTCAGCTTAGTTCATGCGGTTGTTTTTTTTGTTTGTTTGTTTCTTTGTGGGGGCATGCCCCTACACTTGGAGATTTTTATTCAATGAGAAACAAAAGAAAGTCGTCATGTTTTCTTTCTTGGTGCAACCCGCACAGAAAGTGAGACTGTAATTAATTGTAGTCATGCGAAATAATTCTGACCAAAGAGAAATCCTACGTCGAGGCTGCAAAAAAAAATTTGTGTGTAGCATACTTGCAACTCCAGTTACCCCGAGCAACCAATTTGTCTGTTGTCTGTTATTTCAGACCTGCAAGTTTGCGCCCCCCCCACCACACCCTCCGAAACCTCTTCATACAATCAAACAAAAATCTCTTCCTCAATTAAATAGCATTGCATGAGCTATGACTGCACATAATAAAGATGCGCAGTCAATCAATGCGAAAGTAATTATGTGAGCTTGCCGATGTTTCTATTTGAGTGACTTTTTTAGTAGCGGGCTGGGAACATGTAATCCTCCTTCAAGTAAGTTTCTGCCTCAATTAACCATGTCTTCCAAAAGGATGCTTGGCTCCTCTCAGCACAAGTCAGAGTGACATTGAGAATGCAACATCCACAATAAACGGGGTCACGCTGCACCTTAGAGCGGGAAAAGCACCGCTCGGCCCATTCTCATCCCTGCATCGTGCACTTATAAGGCGACACATTTGAATTTCGTGCGGCCTCACTTGAATGAAGAGGAAAACGGTCGTTCTGTGACGGAGTGACGAGCGGGAGTCGGTCTTTGGTCACAAGCGCGACCTCGCGCTTTAAATTTGGCCTTCAGGTTTTCCAAGCAAGAAAAGATTTACAATACCGTCATGATGTAGCCGGTGAAGCGTTGCTTCCCCTCGTTGCATACACCCTAGTTATCTTGTCAACAAGCTCCAGGAAAGTAGCAATTACCTTATCTGATAATGTCCTCGCAGCCACATCTTAATAGCTTATTTCTCGGCTCTATTACACTCATTGTTGTCCAGAAATGTGTAAGTGAGGCACCAAAGTAGTCCATTGCAATGATGTGTTCCGGAGTTCATCATGATAATGAGCACTTCGGTTTGTTTTGAGTGAAGCCGAGAACTCCTATTTAATCTACTGTGCCACTTTGCGTATTCCATTCAATTCATCAATACTCGTGTCTGTGGAACGTATGCTAATATAAACGCTTGTAGGGCTAATCATTGACTCTCGTGATAGCTGTTTTTAGCTTTTCCTAGGCCACGTTAGGAAGATACAAAAGTTTGTGGAGGGTAACAACCCAAACACTAACGAGCCATTTTAACTCGTTACATTTTTTTTTTTTTTTAAACATTACTTTTTTTTAAAACTTTTTTTTTGTTTGGTTTTTTTTTTTTTGAGCGGCCTCTAGGCAGTATCCACGTGGCCAGTTGGCCCCCTAGTCCACTCCAGGGTGGTCACAGGCAAACAAGCAGCCACAGTTACATAACTCCTATGACGGGGGGGAAATGCCAAATGCTGGAGGAATTGACTCCAAGGAGCAGCATATGCTTTATGTTTACATCCCTTTCTGCCGTAGGAAGGCACTGGAGCACTAGATTTCTGGAAAATGCTTCCCCACATGTCTTACCTAGTTTCTTGGCACCATGATGGCACCAAGGGACTACTTTTCTTTTAAACGGGGCTTTGGTACCATCTTGTGGCGTCTTAGGGCGGTTTAAGAAGAGTTTTTCAGCAAATAATGGAGGATACATTTCTTTCATGCGTGAGTAGTGAATCACAATTATGTTGCGATGTTGGATAGGCTACAACTGGCAGCGTCCCTGAACTGGATAACAGTAGAAAAGGGATGGATGGTTTCATTGTTTTCCAGATGCACAAGTCTCAAAGACTGAACAACTAAAGGTTTGGTTGAGTCTTGTAAAGGTGAGAGGGCCACATGCGGCTGAGCATACAGGAGACAGAGCACAGCTTGATTGGCTCATGCCGTCTTCAGAGACATCAACACACCAATGCGCGATGAGCCTGAGGATCAATGACAACGTGGATTCTTCCTGATCTCTTTTTGCCAGGCTTCATTGGGCCCGTACGTTTTCTTTTCTACTGCAATACATGTGAGACTGTTTTTCGCGCTATCCAGAAGGGAAACGAATCATTAGTGTCACATTTAAATTTCAAACAGCGTCCAGAATGCCATACCGTGGTACAGTCAAGTATTTAATTGTATTCTTCTTCCTTTCTATTAAGATTCAAAGAAAAAGTAAAGAACAATTATGACCTGAGTGTTTCTGATGTGATTTAATTGTCAAACAGGACTGAAGGCAAGATCTTAGATCCCTTTCCTGATACGTCAATTTAAATCGGTGTGTTGTTTTAGTTAATACACGGAAAAAACATTTTTTTAAAAGCCACATCAAAATTAAAGAAATACATACAATTAATGACAACGATGTGCCGTCGAGGAGATTTTGAATGCCATATTGTTTTAACACTCACTGCTTGTTTGTACCCCTTTTCTGTGTGTGTGTGTGGGGGGGGGGGGGACAATGCTCACATCTTGTTCAGTTGGTGACATGAAATATATTAGACCAATATCACCACTTAGTGGACAAACTACTACATAGCAGCAATGAAAGGTGGACTGTATCAGCAAAGTTCCAGGACTGGCATTTCAAGCTGCGAGTTTTCCCTCTTCAAAATAATAAAGCTTGAGTCTTATGCACCTTCCCTGCCAATTCCTTCATGCGCTTTTGGAAGGATTCTGACAGGATCCTCCGCCGCAGCTCCATCATCAGACAGCATCTTGATGACTCACTGAAACTTTGGAAAGATAGTCGTGGGGGGTGGGGGCGGTGATCACACTGGTGAGTCAGGCGGTTGCTCCAACACAGTGATGTTCTTCTTGTCCAGGAACAGTTGGATGCTCAGGACACTGTGAGCGAGTGCGTTGCCATGGCGAAGCAGCCACGAGTTGTCCTGTCATAACTTTCTCGCCTCTTCTTGCACACTGAATGAAGCATTGCAGGATCTCTTTGTGGACTTGCCGGTTGATTGTCTGGTGCCAGGGGAAGAACTCAAAGCAAACGCTACCTCTCACGCAGAAGATTACAGTTTCGACTTTGAACTTACATTCTCTCACTTTCTTTGCCCATGGCAACATCAAACCCTTTATTTGGAGTTGGATATATTATTAGGTTAATTGAAGACTCTAACTACATTGTCTATAGGTGTGAATGGTTGTTTTTCCATACTGTATGTTCTTTGTGATTGACTGGCGACCAGTCCAGGGTGTATCCCACGTCTCATCCCACAACAGTTGTGATAGGCTCCAGCTCACCACCTCATTGGCTAAATTGCACCGATGTACCTAATGAAGATGCTAAGTGTTTGTTCGTTTATCTGTGGCAGCCTTGCTGAATTGGCCCATACCGTCGACCAAAAGGTGTCAGTTTATGTATGTTTTATTAACTTTCCAACTAATGTTGCAGTTTGGCAATGTGATAAACCGAAGTGGGATTATCCATCCTTGCAAAGTGTCATTATTTAGAAAAAAAAAACCTAAAACTATCAGTCAAATGTTTATAAAACGAGCTTGAATGATTGCACAAATGCCCTTTATTTTCTTCTTTGTCAATTCATATCATACATGAGCTTTCGGGGTTCATTATAAATCTATTTTATTTCACCATTGCTGTACATTTGTAAAGGAGGAAGCCAAACAGTATGAGAATTATAGATTGTTTTATTACACAATGCTGAGTGACGTTGTTTTCAAGTTTTTACTCTCTATATAAAAAAACCTAAAACTAATAATAAAACTAACAAAAAACGTAAAAGAAGGATTTTTGAATCATAAAAACTTAATTAAAAAAATAAAACTAACTGAAGATAAAACACTGAAGTCAAATGAAATAAAAAGTAATCATAATTTAAAAAAAATTAAAAATCCAAAACAATTATAACCCGGCTTGTCCACAAGAACAGGAAGCGCGCAAAAGGCTGATAAGCGTTTTGTGTCTTTGAGAAGTGTGTCATGATGAACCTGAGCGCAACCCCCTTTGACCTCAGCAGAAAACCTATATTCGTGTATTTTTATTTGCATGGTACCAAAGTGGTTCAGATAGGATTTCATAATGGTGAAAAGAAATCAATAACAGCGGTAATGATTTCACAGTATTTGTTTCCAGTAACACACACACACACGCACGCGCACACACACAAAGTTCAGCAATAATAATTGAGCAGAATTTCTTCCATTGTGTATTATTCACATATTTTGACATTCAGTCGTACCACACGACATATTCTTTCATAAACCACCTCAAATAATTTGTTCACATGGACACAAGCTTTTGGCCGATTTCCTTCGTGATTCATCAATAAGATACAAATGGAACAGATCGGTAGAGAAGAGGTTCCCTCCTGGCTCGTTGACTTGGCTTCTCGGTTGAGGTCGGCGTCGTCTGGTAGGCCAGTGACGCCTCACTTCGGGTATTTGACAAACTGACACTCACAGAATCAGAGTGTCCGACTCAGCTTGTCAAATACACTAAGTGGGGGGCCGGATCTCCCCGAATCAGACTTGACTCCTTCGAAGAAATGAACATTCACCGCATGCCCACCCCTCGAAAGCAATCGTTTCTCGGTTATTCAACAACGAGCTGAATGAGTTACCTGCGGCGTGTGGGTGTTGCTGCTGAGGGCCGAGGACTCTCGCCGCTCCCGTCCTTTGACTGCGACGAGCTGACACTGACAATCGGTCGGAGCATTTCGGCTGCATTGCCGCAAAGGGGAAGTCAAAACGAGGAAGATAAGTTGAGCGGCTCGCTCGCAGGAAATGTGTGGAAATAAAGTGTCAACATGTCACGGTTGTGAAATGCTCTTGAAGGCTTTCTCGGACAGACGTTGTCCACGCCTTTCGTTTTGCGGCATTTCAGAGTTCTTATCGATGCATTCAGAAGGCACTTGCGGCACTGATGATTGAGAGTCTGTCAGTTTATGAGTTCATTCAAGCTCACAAACACCCCCTGAAAAGACGGACCACTTTATTTGAACCCAAGAATAACTTCCTCCATCGTTCACCAGCTACACATACTGTAATTGTTTCATGATCCTGGTCACATTCACTTTTTCACGGCCAGTCTTTGAACTAACTGAAGTACTGATGTCTTTCTTCTGAGACACCGGAGTTCAAATTCCTGCCCGCGGGTCATTTCCTGGTTGACAGCCAGTCGCTAGGCACATCGAAAACGATTTACACACATCCATACCAATGGAGTCTTCTCTAAAACTAGCATGCAAACGTGTTTTTGCAATCTGGGAAGAAACCCGGAATGAAATCCCACTCAAGCACGGGGAGAACACCAAAAACTGCACGCAGAAAGGTCACAACCGAGACTCGAACACACCACCTTTGGCTGACGTGCCACCCAGAAGCTGTCCAACTGCGTTGTGCACTGGAACAGAAAAGCTCAAAATTGGAAAAGATAAATGTGAGGAAACAAGCACACTCTGGGATTAATTTATTGCTTTGTTCCAAGATTTTCTGTCTGCTACTACAACAGCGCCGATACAGTACATGACAATGTAGAAGAGAGGTTCTTGATTAAGATGTCAAATTCGAGTACTTGCATTTCTTGGCATAAATAAAATGGCTAGTTTTAGTGGTTTCATGTTATGCTTGATGAAATTCTGACTTAACAGAGAAACCCAGTTAACCAGTTTAAATTTGGTTGCAGTACTAATAGGCAGTGTCAGGATAGAAATCACTTTTTTTTATTGTTGTTTTGTTTGAAATTCCTCATTCCTGCTAACTGAAAAATGAAAGCGGCTGCATTTGAAGCATTACACGACGCAAGATGGTTTCTGAGACATATTGGTGCTGGTGGTCTTCACAAACGTTAAGCGCTACAACGGTCATTCATGACTGCATTGAGGCCGCAAGTCACATAAGCGGTTGAACCAACTTCTGCGAGCAGCAGCAGGCCAAGATAGAGGAAGTAGGAGGTGAAGAGATGCCTCCCAAGTGTGCTCTTGAGAAAGAGTAGAGTGAACTTTCATCAAGTTGTTCCCCAACAATTAACTGAAGAAACAGGCCGCAGTTCAGTGGCAGCCACATTTCTAAATTCAAGAACTCACACAGTAGTAAAATTGTTGGCGGGATTTCTGGTGACAGGAGCTTGCGGCAATGTGATGCGTCCTATTTTATCTATTTATTTATTTTTTCCACCAGACTGAAGCTGAACTGCGAGCTTCTTATTCGCTCACCTGTCACCCACCTGCTCTATTATTTGTATTTAGTCTCAAAACGGTGAGTGAGATTTGAGTGAGGAGTGAGATTTCTTTTTTTGAGTGAGGAATTTGTGTATCACTAAACGCAAGACGTTGTGCTCCTACTAACTGTTAAACTGAGTTGAAAACATGTATAGCAAATAGCACAGTACAAATGGATTAATAATAATACAGTGTGATGCACAATGAAGAAACGTTTTTCGAATGTATTTGTTATACAGCAATAAACGTTATCATATCTTATCTTATCTTATTTTGGACGAACACTCCCAGAAAATTCTCTTCTTGCCAAATCGCCGACACTCGTGAGCTAAAGACGCCATCATGTGGCTCATCGCAAAATTACAAGCACGGTGGTTGCAAAAAACTGCCGGAGGCGATTGTGCGGTGGTTGCTCGTTCTTCGGCCCCTACAGAGATTAAAGGTTAAGTACGAACGCTGTGCGGCTTTCGTACTTTTTTTAAAAATGTACAGTTATCATACCGTTTTATAAGAGTATTTACCGGCGCGTTCCGATTTAGCGTACACGTTTGAACGTCGTCGTAACTCGAGGACTCTTTCAAGAGGCGAGTTGCAAACAGAAAAGACAAGACCAAGCACGTTTTTTTCTGGCTTTTATTCACTAGTGAAAGGAAGACGAAGCAAAAATTGGGCAAGGCACTGTCTGTCAGATGGAAAAAGATCATTATGATTCAATCCTTCATATTTCCTCTTTTAAAGAACTCCTGGAGGCAAACATGAGTGAGGTCACCTCATCACACGATGATTTGCCTAAACTTAAAAGGATTGTTTTTCAGGTAAAACATACAGTACAGCTTCGTTTCAGTTGTCAAAGGCATCTAAAGGTATTCAAAATAGCAAATGCATTCTTTTGTTTGACGGCAATTGTTTAAAGAAAAATACTGTATTGCAATTGCATCTAAGTAAAAAAATCATTTAGACACATTAAAATAGAAAGCAACACCTACTGCTATAATACTTTTATTTTGACCTTTGAAAATAATGTCAATACATCTTTCAGAGACGAATCTATGAAACAAGCAAAACCCTTCTTGTGCCTTGATGCCAAAATGAGGCTAAAAACGATGGCAATTACATGTTTAATTGAAAAAGAATGTTGCTGTCAAGAACTGGAATGTGGATTTTTCTTTCATCGGTGCAATGACACGGTGTGCACGGGGGGTGTTGCTTGTTCCTTCAACTTACTAGAAGAGCCACCAGCCACTTCATTAGTTTACAACTAATAGCGTGCTGCGGATGCTGGAAGTTGTATCATACAAAAATATCCTCGGTGTTTTCTTTTTCTCTCTATTTTAACACCGTACATGATTTGATCACATCAGAATAATCCAAATCCCAAAATACAAAAGTCATTAATTAAATACATACAGCATATTAAAATGTAAGAACTAGAGATACTACTCATTGTTGTTTTGGTTAATATTGAATACTGTGATGTTCCAGTGCATGTTAAGGGAATTATGCAAAAAAAAAAAAAAAAAAAGGTCTTTCAGATGTGATTTAAAAAAAAAAAGATTAAATTACAACATACCAACTTTAGAAAGACATACTGGAGGATGTTGAATTGAACAAAATAAATGGTCATGCCTTGACAACAGAACTATTTGATTAAAAGCTTATATATTAAGCCTAAACCCAAGAGTCAAAAATATAAGTCTGATGTACGTTGTGTACGTGCAAGAGCTACAATCTGACCAAAATCATCCAATCAGATATGAACGCTTCAGGGTCACTTTTTTTTTCCTTCCATTTTGAAAGCTTCCCCTTTACAGACAAACATGATGAGCATCATCATAGCTCATCACGCAGATTCAAATTTAACACTACAAACTAAAAGTGTTTCTTATGGCACAAGTTTATTCAGTCTGGATCCCAAAAGAAAAGTAATTCATTGTCTAATTCTGCACTTTAGATGCAACACCACCACCGAAATCAATTCATACGACTGTTTACATTGTACAGTATTTAAATGCTGTGCATCATGAGATCATTAATACGAACAGAAAACTCAGTTTGAATGTGTACAGCAGAAACATTAAATTTATAGCTAACAGCCACAGAGTTAGACTGGCCATCAGGTTTTTAATATTGGATACAAGGAAGTGACAGAAATATGAGATGAAATTATAATTGGTTTGCTTGATGTGTCAGGAAATGTGGTCCATTAACGAAATGCTACAAACCCCCCCTAAGTGAGGAATGCACTGTAAAAAAATACATGTCCCTTATTAAGCAGTGACTTGCCTAAATTCAGTTAGGAATGGTAGCAATTGCAATTTTACAGATCCATATTTGTACATTGTGCTGTGTTTGTGCAGCCATGTCATGATTTGCAGCTGATCATTTTATTTGGGGGGGGGGAGAAAGAGCTTGAGCGACGCAGGACAGCAGTCCAGCAGTCCAGTCAAGTGGGCTTGGCGACTTCCGCATCACATACATTCAAACTCATCGATGCGCTGCTTGGTGTTTCCTGACCGGATCTGCCGGAGGGTCTTGTACTTGTCTCGTCCTGCCCGCATGTTCTCTGCGTGGATCATGTCGTTGACCGTCTTCTTGGTCTCGTCTCGGGCGTTGGCCAACTCTGAACTTAAAGCCTGGAACGACAGTTGGCGCACATTTCTCAGTGAGGCGTCTTAAAACAACTTCCCTCTTCCTTTCATTCTGGTGAAAACTAGGCCTCGAGGGTCACAAAGGACAGCCAAGCTTTTCCAGTCTCTTGTTATTTGCTGAAAAATGTGTACTTAGGCCAAAGCACTGTGAAATATTGCTTTGGTCCCAAGGAAAAATGTTCAGATGAGTTGAGGAGCTTCATGTAGGGCTTCGCCATCGTCTTGAAGCATCAAGTTCTGTTTTCATGGTGTAGCCAAAAAATACTCAACTGTCATAGCCCAACCAAACGACTTTTTTTCCTGGCATTTTGGGAGTCACGGGAGTGTTTAGGGAGATGCGTTGACATACCGCTGTCTGAGGGTTGGTCGACATATAATTATTACTTACAATGGAAGATGAGAGTGGAATGGGAAAATATTTTGGCTCATTGAGTTTCGAAGGAGGACGGGGATAGCAGGTCTGCCTCAGATTTGTGATACTCGGCTGCGACCTTCCTTTGTGGATGCTCATGAGTGCTATAGAGGATGGATGGTCGGATGAGTGATAGGAGGGGACAAGAATGTGCTTCTTATTTTAAGATGGTCTCAGCACACTGCAGTATGCGGTGACCTTTGCTAAATCCATCGGTGATTTAGTACTCTTGCTCGAATGTTCTGCCTACACGCTCCACGGTGGACGCCGAGGCCAGCTGAAGGGTCAGTACGCGGCGTTCTGAACTGTGCCACTTGAATACGTTTAGAGCGCAGTGCAGACAGTCGGTTCTTACCGTCGACTGCGCTAATATATTCGGGTCCGCTAAAAACAACATTTAGATTCCACGTGCATAACATAGCCCAAACATTCAACCCTTTGCTGACTCCAGCATACAAGATGATAAAACAGCTGGGTGTAAAACTGTGTGAAAATGTTACCAGAACAGCCCGCCCCACTGCATCGGAGCTGAAATATC